CTCTGTATCTATGAGAGTGTTTCTGTTTAGTTTATTTGTTTAGTTTGTTTTTTAGATTCCACATATAAATGAAATAATTAATATTGTGTTTGTATTTCCCTATCTGACTTATTTCACTTAGCATAATGCCCTCTAGGTCCACCCCTGTTGTCTCAAACGATTTTATTCTTTTATATGGCCAAGTTTATACCTATGTATATGTAGTTTATACATATATATATACATATATGATATCACATCTTCTTTTCCATTTGCCTTTTGATTAGAGCATTAGAGCATTCAATCCACTGACATTTAAAATAATTATTGATAGTTATGTAGTTATTACCATTTTATTAATTGCTTTCTGATTGTTTCTGTAGGTCACCTATGACCTCCACCAAACACTGAACATTACTGATCTGTTCCATTTCGTATAATTTTGTATTTCCCAGGATATCATATAAGTGGAATTATATCATATGTCAGCTCTTGGATCTGGCTTCTTTCTCTTAGCATAATGCATTTGGTATAACCCTAGCTGTTGTGTGAATCAATGGTTCACTTAATTGTTGGATAGTATTCTATTTTGTGAATGTACCACAGTTTGTCCATTCACAAATTAAAGGATATCTTATTTGTTTCTAGTATTTAGCAATTTTTAATAAGACTTTATAAACATTCTCATATATATTTTTGTATAAACTTATTTTTTCTTAATTAAGTTTATACAAAACTATATTAAGTTTCTTAATATATGTCTTTTCCTTAATTTTTCCTATATATCTTTCATTCCTAGTGGAAGTGCTAGGTCATATAATAATCATTTGTTAAATTTTATGAGTAACTGCCCAGCTGTTTTTCAAAATGCCTGAACCATTTTATATCCCCACTAGGAATGAATGAGAGTTCCTTTTGTTCCACATCCTTGCCAGCATTTGATATTGTCATATATAGATATATAATATATATAATAAAATTGAGCTGTTCTAATAGTTATATCTCATTCTGTACTCATTCCAGTTTCAATTTGCATTTTACTAATGACTGATAATATGGAACATATTTTAATATGACACTTTACCATCTTTACAGGGGTGGTGGAGTATTTTTTCAGATATTTTGCCAATTTTTAAAATTATATTTTCTCTTTTACTGTTCAATTTTAAGTGTTCTTTACATATTCTGGATACACAAGATATGTAGTTTGCAAATATGTTCCCCTAATCTGAAGCATTTATTTTCATCCTCTTAACAGTGTCCTTCACAGGTCAATATTTTAAATTTTTGTTGTTTAATTTATTAATTTCTTCATGGATGGTGCTTTTTGTGATGTATCTAACAACTCATTGTCAAACCCAATATCATGCAAATTTTCTCCTATGTTTAACTTTTAGAAGTTTTACTGATTTATATTTTGTATTTAGGCCAGTGATCCATTTTGAGTTACATTTTGCCTAAGATAAGAGATATGTGATGATGTTTATTTGTTTCATATGGACTTCCAATTGTTCTAGCACCATCTGTTGAAAAGACTCTAATTTTCACCAGTGAATTGCCTTTGTCCAAAATCTGTTGACTATATTTGAGTGGGTCTATTTTGGGGCTCTCTGTTCTATTCCATTGATCTATTTGTCTGTGCTTTCGCCAATACCACACTATCTTGAGAAAATTAGTCCCCCCTTATCTGCAGAGGATACATTCTAAGAATTCCAGTGGGTGCCTGAAACTGCAGATAATATTGATCCCTATAAATACTATGTTTTTCCCTATACATACATGCCTATGATACAGTTTAATTTATAAATTAGGCACAGTAAGAGAATAGCAGCAATAATTATTAATAAAATAGAACAATTATACAGTATACTGTAATGAAAGTCATGTGAATGTGGTTTCTCTCTCAATCTCAGGATATCTTATTGTACTATACTCACCCTTCTTTTTCTTGTGATGATGTGAGATGATACAGTGCCTCTGTGGGGAGGTAAAGTGGGGTAAATGACATAGGCATTGTGACAGAGGTAATCTTCAAGATAATTTCTTTTTTGTAGTATTTACCAATTTGATTATTTTGTGTCTGAATGGATTTTATGATTTTATCCTATTTAGGATTTACTCAGATTCTTGAATCTCTGAGTTTGTGTTTTTCATCAACTTTGGAAGTTTTCAGTCTTAATTTCTCAAATACTTTTTTAAGCCCTTCTCTTTCTCCTCTCCATCTGGAACACCAATAACATGAATATTAGCCCTTTTTTTTACACAGGCCCCCAAATCTCTGTTCTTTTATTTTTTACATTTTATTTCTCTGTTGTTCATATTAGATGACTGCTAGTGGTGGATCCTTGAGGTTTTTTTTACTCTTTTCTATATCATTTCTTTTTTTAATTGTTGCACAATTACAGTTGTCCCCATCCCCCCCCCACTCTCCCCTGCCCTACCTGCCCCCACCTCCCACATTCAATTCTCTGTCTTCCCCCATTGTCTTTCTTCATGGGTCCTTTATACATGTTCCTTGATTTGAGCCTTCCCCTTCTTATCCCATTACCCCCCTCCCCCCTCCCCTCTGGTTACTGTGAGTTTGTTCTTTATTTCCATGTCTCTGGTTATATTTTCCTCACTTGTTTGTTTTGTTGACTAGGTTCCACTTACAGGTGAGATCATATGGTATTTGTCTTTTATTGCCGGGGCTTATTTCACTTAGCATAATGCTCTCCAGTTTCATCCATGCTGTTGAGAAGGGTAGGAGTTCCTTCTTCCTTTCTGCTGTATAGTATCCCATTGTGTAAATGTACCATAGTTTTTTGATCCATTCATTTACTGATGGGCACCTAAGTTGCTCCCAGCACTTGGCTATTATAAATTGTGCAGCTATGAACATTGAGGTGCATAGGTTCTTTTGAACTGATGTTTCAGGATTCCTAGGGTATAACCCCAGCAGTGGAATTGCTATGTCAAAAAGCAGTCCCATTTATAACTTTCTGAGAAAATTTCATACTGTTTTCCATAGTGGCTGCACCAGTCTGCATTCCCACCAACAGTGCATTAGGGTTCCCTTTTCTTCAAAACCTTGTCAGCACTTGTTTGTTGATTTGTTTAGGATGGCCATTTTGACTGGTGTGTAATGGCATCTCCCTGTGATTTTAATTTGCATTTCTCTGATGGCTAGTGATGCTGAGCATCCTTTCATATGTCTCTGGGCCCTCTGGATGTTCTCCTTGGAGAAATGTCTGTTCAGGTCCTTTGCTCTTTTTAATTAGATTGTTTGTCTTCTGTCATTGAATCCATTCAGTCAGGGTATTTTTTGTTATTGTACATTTCAGTTGCAGCTGCCTTCAATATTTTATTTTTGCCTGATTTTCTGCAGTTTGAATGTTATATGCCAATGTGTTCTTTTAAAAATTTTATTCATCCTGCTTGGTGTTCTGTGAGATTCTTAGTTCTCTGGTTTGGTATCAATCACTAATTTGGAAAGATTTTGGCAATTACTTCTTCAAGTATTTCTTCTTCCCCATTCTCCTTCTGAAAGTCTAATTACACATATATTACACTGTTTAATAGTGTTCCCAAGTTTTTGGTTTTCTCATTTTGTTTTATTTTTTACTCTTTTTATCTGTGCATTTCAGTCTGTATAATTTCTATTGATCTATCTTCAAGTTCAGTGATTCTACAGCTGTGTCAACTCCGCTGATGAGCACATGAAAGGCATTCTTCAGATCTGATACTGTTGCCATTTTTCTCTTGTATTTACATTTAATTATTTCTTATACTTTCCATTCCCCTGCTGAATTTACCTTTAGGATCTTGCATGCTGTCTACCTTTCCAATAAACCTTTTAACATAGTAGTCATTGATATTTTAAATTCCTTGTCTCATAATTCCAATCTGTGTGTTTTAACTGAGTCTGGTGCTGATGATTTGTCTCTTCAGACTTTGATTTCTTCTTGCCTTGATTCTTCCCTTTTTGCTTCTCTCTGGAGACAATTTATTTCTTGCATCCTTTAAAAATATAGTCCATTATTACCTATTTTTTTAGCCTGGTAGTGGGAAATAGGGAACTAAGGACATTTTATGCTATTCTGATTAAGCCTAACTCTTAGACAGGCTTACCCTGAGTCTTAGAGGTGTGAACGTCCCAAGCATTCTGCCCCTCCTCTAAATATAATGGTGGGCCTAGCACATATTCCTGCTCCTCCTGGATTAAAACATTTTTCCATTTTTCTTCTCCAGCTGTATAGAGTTTCCACCATTGCCTTCAGTTCCTGCTGTCCTTCCTTCTGCAGATTAAAGCTTATTTTCCTTAGAGGAGATACAGAAGTTTGGCCTGGGTAGAGTTTCAGTGGTGTAGCCACTCCTCTCTGCCAACTGCAATGAATTTTCACCAGTGCTCTTATGCTAGAGTTTTATTGTCTTTCTCCATGATGATTAAGGCTTTTGTTCCATAGGATATGTAGGTAGAATGGCCTGGGAAAAATTTCAGCAATGGCTGCTGTTTTGTTTCCATCCCAAAGCCAGAACTACAGGATATCTTTCTCAGGATTCTTCTCAGTCTTCCCTATTAGCACTTGGTGGGATTCTAAAGGAAAAGTCTTCAAGAGGATGCCAGACCACCTATGTCTACAGCCCCCAGTGTCTTCACATTATTACCCTAGCCCACAACCAACATTATGCAACTCCTTAATCATTCTTAGCTGAATTTCTTATGAGTTTATATGCTGTTCAGTAGTATCTGTGAAAGATAAATATCTGGGCACTCTTGCTCCCTGCAAATGCTTGTCTCTACAGATTTTGGATTAACTGTTTGTACTGCAGTCTCAGGGTTGTTGTTTTTTTTTTTGTTCTGTTTTGTTCTGTTTTGTTTTGTTTTGATGAATTCAAGAGAAGTCAATTTGCAATCACAGGGGTTTTTATATAGTTATAATGGGGGGAAAGATGGTCCTTCCAGTTCTACATCCCTGCGGTGATACCAGAAGATCATGTGAACCTGGAGATAAGCTTTTGAGGCTCTGTTTGTCTTCCAGCATCCATACCCCAGTTTACCAATTCCCCCACAATGGTGATTATGGTGGGTTTACCAGCTCGAGGAAAGACTTACATCTCTACAAAGCTCACCCGATATCTGAACTGGATCGGAACACCAACTAAAGGTAAGTCTCTGAAACCTTTTGTTATATAGCCCCCTACAGGCCACTGGCTGAAAACACAGTAAGGTAGCAAGCCTCCGAAGGGACAATGCCCTGGTTACCAGGAAAGTCTCAATTATTAACAGAATGTGGACTATTACTGCTACTGCTACTACTACTATCACTACCACTACACTCATCGAATTTTAAAATTTCTTGAGCACATATGCTGTGCTCAATCCCATGCTAGGTAGGAAAACTAGTACAATTACATTTCTTTCCCAAAGAGCTCCATTTTTGCAAGACCTCAAGACAACTCTATGGCTAGGATACTATTTTTATTGCTATTCCTATTATTATCATACCAATTTTCATTAGCATTACCATTCCTTCACAACCTTAAGGTTTTCTTCCAAACTTAGCAGCATGTGGAATCAAGCACTTTGAAGCTGCAGCCAGAAGGGACCCAGAGCATTTTCACTAAAGCTGGGCATCTTAGCTCACCTCGTCCTCTTGAGTCCAGAAGGCGTCTTCTCTCTCCAAGCCTCTCCTTATGTCTAAGCCTGTCCACTTCCCCTCCCCAGCCGGAAGTGGTCCTGTCTCATTCCGCCTCCAGAGGGGTCTTCTTCCCTGCCTGTCAGCCTCCTTCCTGCTCCCTGCTCCCACCTTTCCGTTCTCCTCGATATGGTCTCTTTTGTGCTTACTACCTCTTATTCACCAATCAATCTCTCTTCTCTTCCAGTTGATTTGCCTGTCCCCCACTGTGCATCCCCATTCCTATTTGATTCCTCTGGGCTCCCACACAAACCCTACTGTAATGTGCCTGCTTCCTGTCTGCTCCAGCACACTCCATTCTCACAGAGGCTCTCACAGTCATATTTCAAAGCTCACAGCTGACCATACATATGCATACAGTCTCCAAGGGATCTCTTGGCCTGCAGACTTAAAAGCAAGCTCCATAGCCTGTTGTTCAAGGCCTTCCACAGTCGGCCGTTGCCAGTCTCTCAAGGCCTCAGTCACAGTCGATGACTTACCATTCCCCAAACGTGTTCTGCCTTCTGCCAATGCCACACCTTTGCTCAAGCTGTTCCTCTACCTGCAATGTCTTTGTTCCCCACTCCAGCCCCCCCCCCATGCCTTCCTTTTAAAAGGCCTGCCCTCCTAAAAGGACTAGTTCAAATGCTGCTTTCTCCAAGAAACCTTCTCAGGTCACCCCAAGTTAACTAGTCTTTTCTTGCCCCTTACTTTGTTGCACGGATCTGTCAGAGTACTTGACAAACTGGGTGAGAGCTCTCCACTTACTGGTTTATTCTCTGACCTATCTGCTGGATTCTGAGCTCTTTGAGAGTCTCATCATGCAGATATGGTTTAGCTCTGAGACCCCAGAACTCACAGCTGGCTTCACAGAGTGCACATCAGAAAATATTTATTGGTTGAATGAATGAAATATTATATTACTTCTTTGCTTATTATCCCCTTTTCTTCCCTTCCCTCCTCTCTGGTTATACACCATTACAAATGAGAAGGTATGACCTAGAGAGGGCATAAATTTAGATTCTCTATTGTGATACAGAAAATGTGATAACATTGGACTATGGTTCAGAAAGCCCAAACTAGTTCTGACTCACTGTTGGACCCTTAGTGATTGATTTTACTCCCTGGATCTAAGTTTATCTTTCTAATGGAGTAGAGCATGAAAAGGGTTGGAGTTTGCGATAAAATAGAATAGTGAATCAACCACCAGCTTTGGAGCCAAATAGCCCTGGGTTTGAATCCTAGCTCCTCAGTAATTGTGAATGTTACTTACTATCTCTGAACTTCAGTTTTCTCACTTGTAAAATGGGAATGGTGATTCCCACTTTTCAGGATTGTTGTAAAAAATAAATGATCTGGTAGCCATAATTCAAAGCTTTGTAAGCACATTATATAGCTACAAATTATACCTTATTCTACCTACCTCTAAAATCCCTCCCAACTAGGACATGGGAATTTTTGTTGTTGTTGCCACTGAAATCTTCCTAATCTCTTCACCAATGTTCCCTGCTTTCAGTGTTTAATTTAGGTCAATATCGAAGAGAGGCAGTTAGCTACAAGAACTATGAATTCTTTCTCCCAGACAACATGGAAGCTCTACATATCAGGAAGTAAGTACCTAACATTTTGAGGACCTGTGCTGGCCCTTGGCTGAGGGAGGGCTTTGTTCAGATGATGAGAGACTAGAGCAGAGACACTAGGGTTAGCAAGGAGGCCCTCCAGACTCTCAAATGGTGGTTTTGATAGCCATCTTACCCAAAGCCTGTTTCTAGTCATAGCTATCCCCTGCTTAAGAACTTTAAACACTCTCCTACTTCTGACAGGGAAGAATGGAAATTTCTCAGCCTAGCATTTGAGACAAGAGTCTTAATAGTTGGGCATACTACAGTCTGTTCAATCTCATCCATTCAATCTCAAAGTCTCTCTCCTCTCCAAGACTCTGAACACTTTTAGAAGAGAGCCTGTGTCTCATTTATTGATCCATGCCCACGAGGATAATAGAACCTTAAAAAGAGTAATCACTAAATAGATTTTTTCCAAAACCATAAACCATTGCCAATGTCATATCTGTGCTTGTGCTGTTACCTGTGCCAGGAATGCCTTCTACTTTACAGATCATATACTCAGGCTCTAACTGAGTTCAAGAACCCATTCAGGTCTATTAACTCAGGGGTTGGAGCCTTTAATATTATTCTGTGTCAGTCAATTTTTCCTAGGTATGCCACTTTATACCTACTCTTAAAATGTATACACAGATCCACTGTCACCTGTGTGACCTCTCTGTGCTGGTCATGTATAAATATTTACTAGGCAAATAATATAATATAGGACATGTGAGAGATGGTGCAATAGATACTATAGAAAAATTGAGAGGAACCAGTCTTGGGAATAAGTCTTATCTGTTTTTTTTCCCTCCATCTTTTTCAGGCAATGTGCTTTGGCAGCCCTTAAGGATGTCCATGATTATCTCAGCCATGAGGAAGGTCATGTTGCGGTAAAGAAATTTGCATTTTTCCTAGGATTTCTGCTGGGATGGAGAACAGCTAATATGTATTGAACATTTACTATGTTCCACACATTATTCTAAGTACTTTGTACATATTAATTTAATTCCATCTTACCCCATGAGGAGGGTATTATAATTATTCCCCCATTTTATATCCCAGAAGAATGACACACAGAAAGATTAAATAATTTCCCATTATGGCATAGCATGAATGTGGCAGAACAGAACTGAAATCCAAGTTGTGTAGCTCCAGAATCTATACTTTTAGCTACTATACCTACCATTCCACTCCCAAGAATTAAGCAGGACTACAATAGAATTTAAAACTAAACTACAAACTTTTTAGTTCTGAGATTTATCTAAACATCTTAGTCAATTTATTCTCATAGAGATCCTGGAGATAGGATTTGCAAATTCTAAAAATGAAAAAGATCTTCAAATATGCAAATTGTCCCATCTAAGGTGCTGAAGATAAGGAGTTGTTTCCTGTTCTTAAAGAGCTCCAAAGTGATAGGGAAGGAAGAAGCCTCACCTAAGAGTTGAGAAATCAGTTCTAGCTCTGCTCTGTCAGCAACTCTCAGGGACTTGGTTAAAGCAAATCCTTCCTCTAAGGCTCAGCTACTTCACCCTACTAAAAACCCACAATTGTTTTCTTGCGTTATTATTCCTGTAAGAGCCTGCTACGCTTTGGGTAGATAGCAGGGCTCAATAAGTGTGAGAAATTGATACAAGCCAATTACAAATCTTTGCTATCCTTCATCACCCAGTCCCTGTTCTATCCCCTTCTGGTAGCACTCCAATTAGCTGACCACAGGGATGGTCAAAGAGTAGGCATTCTATCAGCACCAGACTCACAGCAAACCAGTCTCATCATCTGCCTTTAGGTTTTTGATGCCACCAACACTACCAGAGAACGACGGTCACTGATTTTGCAGTTTGCTAAGGAACATGGTTACAAGGTACAGTAACACTGCTACTCTTATCTAGAACCTACTTATCCAGGTGTAAATCCTAAAGAAAGGCAAAGCAGAGGACTCATAGAGGCTAATCAGCTACCTTAGGCTCAACATTTTAATTTGTTTGAGATGGCTTTCCAGATAATGTTTAGAAGCAACACAACAGAACAGAACAGAACAGGAAAGGAAAGGTGCCACATTAGGCAATTGAGGATGACTGCTGACAGGCTGGCACTGTAAGAAGAGGATGAGGAAAGAGGAGAGAGAACTACTACAAAAAGCATGTGAATTAAAAACCAGTAAACATAGCAAAGGAAACAATTATCAAAATGAAAAAACAACCTACTGAATGGGAGAAGATATTTGTGATATATCTGATAAAGGGTTAATATCCAAAATACAAAGAACCCATACAACTCAACATCAGGAAAACAATACAATTAAAAAATGAGTAGCAGACCTGAATTTCTATTTATCCATAGGAGTCATACAGATGACTGATACACATATGAAAAGAGGTTCAACATCACTAATCATCAGGGAAATGAAAATCAAAACCACGATGGGATACCACCTCATACCAGTCAGACTGGCTATCATCAAAAAGCTAACTAGTAACAAATGTTGGCAAGGATGTGGGGAAAAGTGAACTATCATTCATTGTGGGTGGGATTATAAATTGGTGCAGCCACTATGGAAAACAATTGAAATTCCTCAAAAAATTAAAAATGGAATTGCCATATGGCCTAGCAATACCACTTCAGGGTATTTATTCAAAGAGGAAAAAAAAACAATAATTCAAAAGTGCTATAAATAGCAGCACTATTTACAATAGCCAAAGCAACCTTGGTGTTTATCAATAGATGAATAAAGAAGATATGGTAGAGAACAATTAGGTGCCTAGAAAGCCATAATGTTCCAAAAGGAATGTGTATACTCTCATATACACATTCCTTATACATATATATACTCTCATATACATATACACATATATACACACACAATGGAATATTACTTGGCAATTAAAAGAATGAAATCTTGTTGTTTGTGACAACATGGTTGGACCTAGAGGGTTTTGTGCTAAGTGAAATAAGTCAGGCAAAAAGAGACAAATACCATATAATTTCACTTGTTTGTGGAATCTAAAAAAATGAATAAATAAAACAGAAAAAGACCCACAGATACAGAAAACAAACTGATGATTGCCAGAAGGGAGAGGGGTTAAGGAGATGGGTGTAAAAGATGAAGGGGAATAAAAAGATTTTATTTGCAAAAAAAAGAAAGAAAATAACTACTGCTCTAGAAAATGATAATTTTAGCTTAATTAGTTGGGTGAATTGGCCTCAGGAAAGTTGGCTTCAGGTGAAATGAAATGGTATCAGGTGAGCTAAATTCCCATTACTACCTTAGCATGTCCATCTCTCTTGGAGCATTATGTCTAAGAACCAAATTCATTTTGTAGACATTATTTGTAGGATCCTACTTTTTAAAAAAAACAGTAAAAACACAAAGCAATAATCTTGAGTCATTCAATTTACAGCCAATCTGCCTCATAAAAATCAGAATCCTAAAGCACTACTGTATGAAATTATGTTACTCAGAAACATTTAGAAGGGGTCAAACTATGATTGGCTCCTATCAAACATAATTCCCTGCTGGAAATATTTCTTTTGTTTCTCTTCTAGGTGTTTTTTATTGAGTCCATCTGTAATGACCCCGGCATCATTGCAGAAAACATCAGGGTAAGGAGCCCAAGTTACCCTTCCTCCTTACTTTGCCTCAGGCTTGGATCATGCCTAAAAATATATCTATGAGATTAAAAAAGGCATTCTTCTCCAGGGTCCCTTCCCACTTTCTATAGGAAGCATTCCCTGATGATTGTGGCCTACAATTTTCCTATAGAATTAAATGAAGCCAATATATATAGAGTTATTAATATGCACCAGGTACCAAGCTTGACTCTGACTTTTTCACAACAAATGTGCATGTTAAGAATCATTTCAGTGTTGGAAAAAAGAAACTGAGGTTCCAAGAGGGAAAGTGAGTTGTCAAGGGTTTATGCAGCCAGAAAGAGGTAGAAATGGGACTGGACCTCAGATTTGGCTATCTGCCTCAAAAGATCTTTATTCTGCCTCACAATTCATATCAGAATTATCACTCCTCTTAGATTCTAGGCATGTGGTCTAGAACTAGAACACTTAACACATTTTACTCTTTCTTATTTCATCAAATTACTGGAGCTCAGGCGCAGAAAAGACTTTAAAAGTCATCTCCTTCAACCTTTCATCAGATACCTGAAATCTCAGGTAAATGTTTGTATAGATTTTTTCTTCAGACATCTAGTGACAAGAGGCTCATTGCCTTCATCAAATACAGTCCAATCAAGTTGAAATCTACCTCCTTGTAATTCCCACTTATGGTCATACTTTTGCCTCTAGGAGCAAAGAACATGTCCAATCCCTCCCTTTCCTCTTCACCTATCCATCTAGCCATCCATTTATTGGTTAAACAGAAAATGAATCCATACACCTGTGCCAGGCCATTCCAGGTATTAGAGACATAGTAATGGACAGAGAAGAGTCTTGCTCTTTTTAAAAAGATTTTATTTATTTATTTATTTATTTATTTATTTATTTAAGAGAGAGGGGAAGGGAAGGAAAAAGAGAGGGAGAGAAACATCAACATGTGGTCACCCTTCACGTGTCCCCAAGTGGGGACCTGGCCTGCAACCCAGGCATGTGGCCTGACTGGGAATTGAACCAGTGACTCTTTGGTTCACAGGCCCACATTCAATCCGCTGAGCTACACCAGCCAGGGCTAAGAGTCTTGCTCTCGAGCTCACAGTCAAGTAAGAGAGCCTGGCAAGTTTATATACATAACTCTGTGAGATCAATGCTAAGATGAGGGAATAAAGGAAGCTTGAGGACCTAACCTTGCATGGGAGGAATAGGGTATATCAGGAAATCTTCTTAATGAAGGTAATAGCTTACATGCACCTTGAAAAATGCATAGGAATTTGGCAGGCAAAGAATGGAAAATAAGGGAATAGCATGTAGAGGAAGAGGGTAACAATGGGAGATGAGGATGAAAAAAATTATTTGGGGCCCAATCATGACAAACCATGAGTCACTTGCTAAAATATTTCATACTTTGTCCTAAAATATATGAGGAAATGTAAAAAGTTTTAAGCAAGGGAATTCCATGGTCAGATGTACATGTTAGAAATATCCTTCTTAGAAAATTGTACTTGAATAACAATAAAAAATTGAAACAACAACAAAAAAGAAATATTCTTCTGGCTGCTGGTATGGGGAATATATTAGAAATAACAAGATTTTACACAGAGTGATCAGTCACAAAGCTATCATGAACATCCAGGCAAGAGAAAATGAAGGCCAATTAGAGAGATATTTAAAAGATATAGCAGAGAGGATTTCAGTGCCTGCTGAGAGGTGGGGAATGTTAGAAAGGGACACATCTATTATAAGGTGACTTCCAGATTTCTTTAGCCTCAGGTAACTGAGTGGAAGATAGTACCACTCACTAAGATGAGTGGAAATGGAGGGAATTAGAGATACCAGCCCTTCAGAACACCAAACCCAACATGCCATGTTCTTCCAGTAAACACTTGATACATTTAAGCCATTATGACCCCTGGCCAAGATCTTGTGTTCCTCTTCTTCAACCATTTCTGACATCACAATTTCCAGTCCTTTTATAAACATTCTTATGAAACATTGTACACTATAGAACTGAATATAATATAACATAACTTGTTCAACTACACAGATGTATAAGTAGTGAGAATTATACAATCCAGATTTTCAGTGCATGCATTTTATAAACTTAAGCAAGACTCTTTCTCCAAGTCTCAATTTTGCCATTCTTATTATGAGGTATGTTGTACTCAATGATCTCTAAAGGCCCTTCCCAAGGACACTGCCAGAGTTTCTGTCTTCCACGGTCTCTCTGTCCTTCTCCCTTCTCCCAGCAAGTGAAACTCGGAAGCCCTGATTACATAGACTGTGACCGAGAAAAGGTTCTGGAAGACTTTCTAAAAAGAATTGAATGCTATGAGCTCAATTACCAACCCTTGGATGATGAACTGGACAGGTAAGAGCCCAGAACCCCAAAATCCAGGTCGGGATCCTTAGCCATGTTTTGATGTCCTGTAGAACCTAGGAAAATTTCCTCCCTCTCTTGGCCTCAACTTCTTTATGTGTAACATTAGGGAGTTCGACTTGATGATTTGTCTTCAAGGATGCTCCTAGCTCTACTTATCAATGAGGTGGTTATTCCTTGATGTGTAAGGTGTTCATGAGAGGATTAAAGGAGTGCTTTTCTGAGCAATATGGACAGATCAGGGACCTGATCTCAGGGTGAGGAGGCAGGGGGAACCTCCCTCCTGTCTTTATAGCTATTATTTTTTGAAAAGTGTTCTTTACTCATGGATGGTACTTCAGTTTTCAAACATGTTCATCTTGTTTAATTGAATCCCCTAAGCATCTTCTGCCCCTGTAGAAGAGACTGAAATAGGTCTTATGATCATAAATTTCAAGAAGAGGAAATTGAGTCTTAGAGAGCTGAACACACTTGCCAAAGCTCCCACCATAACTCAATAGTAGAGCTGGGATTCTAACCACATATTCTGTCTTCTAGCCATGTCTCTTCTTACAGTACCCACATATACCTTTTCAATAAATAAGTATTTCATCCTTCTTGGCTGTGGTATACATAGGAAATGTAAATAAGGGCAAGAGAGGTGGATTCTATTCTCAGGTAGCTTCCATAGTGCCTGGCAATGTGGGAAGACACCTGAAAAATTTGAAGCTTTCATTCAAAATACCAGGTAAATATAGGAGAGGTGTTAGCTGACAGTATAGGGAAGATGTTAAGTTTTAGACATAAGGTATTCCCAAACCCTACTCTCTTTCAAAATGGGTTTTGATGAGAAGAGACTCACATCACTCAGATTTTTTGGAACCCAAGTAAGAAGGGTAAGGAGGTTTCAACAGTCAATACTATACTAGGAATTTTAAAAAATATCCTTCCTGCTTTGTCTAATTGAAGTCCTAAGAAGTGAGCATTGCTACTGCCTTAATCCTCAAATTGGGGAGTGGAAACCCAGAGTAGGGAAAGGGCTTACCTGAGACCACACAATGAATCAATAGCAGAATATATACTCAAACCTTATCTTCAAACTTCCATCCTGGTTCTTCATTTCTCACATCTCAATATCATCATAAAAAGTGTCACATGAGGCTTAGACACTCAGTACAAGAGTCAAGACCTTATGTACAAGTGTGAGGATTGTTCTCTGTGCATGGGCATTTAGGCCAAGTGTGCACTTACTTCTTTCACCAAGGCATGTATGCTGGAGTGGGGCTGTTTCTTCCCTGAGGAAAGTGTTACCTTTTCAAATTTCCACAAAAGGGCTAGAAGCACATGGTGGAAGAAGTTTGAAGGAGAGGAGCTCAAGGTAAATAATGATATTGAGAAAGCCCCATAGCCTTCAACCTATTCTTCTGCAGGTGTTCAGATGTTTAATGAATCAATTCAGGCATTAAGATGACTGATTATGAGGGTTGGCTTTATTTAATTACTTTCCATCAGAAGACTATTATAGCCCATGCCTCAGGGCCCAGCCCTAATCTGTGTCCTAGGAACCCAAAGAAGAAAGGTCCATCCCTGCTCTAATAGAATGACCACTTGGTTGGGGAATACAGTGAGTATGCAGTTGATTAGAATAGTGGTGATGGTGGAACAAGTGTGCTGGAGGAACACACAGGAGGGGACCCAGCCTGGCTCTTTGGAAGAGGTCTAGAAGAGCAAGTTGTTTACCTAGTAAGTACACTAGATGTGTTTAGGGCACCAGCAAAGCAGAGACTACCAAAAATAAGAAGAAAATAATCTTGAAATATTTTAATATTTTATATTTCCAGCATCGAGTTAGTCAAAATGGAAAAAAAAATGAAATCAGAACTTGGTAGAACCTCCTCATATTATAATAGACTTTATAATTTTATTTAAATTTTACATGGTATGTATGGGTATTAGCTACTGTAATACTTTTGGTGTGAAGCACCTCTGATCCTGGGCTCAAAGAAACCTTCTAGAGAGAGTGAACATACTGGCGCTTGACAGATGGAGGCATAGGACCTCAACTTTGGAGACCAGGCAAGGAACACGTTTTCAAGCAAAGAGAATAGCACTTCATAATGGCCTAGGTAAATCTGAATAAGAGTAGAGGAGTACAGAGAATATTCCAACAAAGGCATAAAGGCTGCAGTGAAATAAAGAAGTTATGAGCGTGAGTATGGAATAGTGAGGTGAGGCCAAGTGGGACCAGTATGTGAAGGCACCTAGAATATCAGACTAAGCTGAAGGATTTGGAAATTCTCCTGGAACCACCAAGAACCTAGTGTCAGGAACAGACAGTAACCATGCAACAATGCTACATCATCTATTTTCTAATTGTAAACTCTGAGAGTCCTTGGAGAGGATGACCTTAAGCAAATCACTTCCTCTCTCTGTTTCAGCTTCCTTAACCATAAAACACAGATAATAATCTCCACTTTCTAGGATTGTTATATGGATTCATGTACTTGAAATTCTGCATTCCCTGCCAGAAGCCCCCAAAATGTTTAGCAAATGTGAATGCCCTGTGGGAACCATTAGACATGAATGATAGGGATGGGCATGATGAGCATGGTGCAGATAGAAATGCCTTCTTTAGGGACATCAGAGAAATTTTCTGAAACCAAACCCATCAGCCACTGCCTTACCTGCTTTGGGTTAGTGCAGCTATTCCCATTCACTGGGTTTTGTTACTGTGCACACAGGGTTCCTGGTGTGTCATCTCATTGCCCCAGCCTCCCCCACCTGTTTACAGGGATTACCCTGAACTCCTTATAATCAGACAATTTAGGAATTAATGCCTGGCACAGCAAGTGCCTCAGAAGTCTTGCTCCATGGTTCTGGTCTTCTGATTAGTCAATGTCTCCCATTTTGAGCTCTCAGTAAAGAGGTTGTTGAATAATTTGATTATCATTCTGTTTATAGTAGTTAGTTTATGACAAGTCACAGAACTGAGGTGATTAAACAGGGGCTTTAAGCAAGGACCACAAGTTTCCCCCTGATGCTGTAAATCATCTGTGTATTCCCACGTGCCAGCACTTGGCACACCTTAAAGTAAGTCACTAGTGACTGTTTGGAGAATAGGTGTTGAGCATTGATCATGCATTTCTAAATATGTATTCCCACCTGGCCTAACATCTCCCAAAGGGCAAATGCTGAGTCCTCAGCCCAAGCACAATGCTTAGAACAGACAAGGGTGTGTGTGCTGACTTCATGGAAGATAGGTAAAGAACCCAACTTACTCTCCTTTCTGAGTAAGGAAAGAAACATACACAGAGACACAAGCACACAAATACATAATCTGGTAACTGCCTACAGAGTGTAAAGAACAATATATCATAGCAGAGGTTCAAAGAACAGAGAGGCAGAGCTTGGCTCATGACTTGAAAGAGCAAGGGAGTGGACAAATCTGGAGCTGCCAATGAGATGTTGGAGGTATCCAGGGACACAGAGGATTACCTCTTCTCTCTGAGAATGTCAGGAATGTGAACCACAGAAAAGGGAATCATAGATGCCTGGAGTGTGATGAATGAAGGTGAAAAGACAACCTGGCTCAAGTTGAGACTGAGAAAAGGAGACAGAGGGAGATAGTAGTAGGCAGTGAGCTCCTAAAAGTGGTCAGGAACCAAGTCTCTAGAACAGGTACCCAGAAAAAGACAACATATAGCATCTTGTTAGAGGAAAGGTAGGTGAGAGCTGGGTTGTGGGGGAGGCTTGAAGTCGGGTAGGTGTTGGGAGTTTCTCTTGGGATTAGTCTCTCCACCTTCAGCCCCTGAATTTTCCTTGCTCTTGCTTGGATTGACCTAGCCACCTATCCTACATCAAGATCTTCGACGTGGGCACGCGCTACATGGTGAATCGAGTGCAGGACCACATCCAGAGCCGCACAGTATACTATCTTATGAACATCCATGTCACACCCCGTTCCATCTACCTATGCCGGCACGGTGAGAGTGAACTCAACCTCAGAGGCCGCATTGGAGGTGACTCTGGCCTCTCAGCTCGGGGAAAGCAGGTAGGGAGTGCACCGTGCACTAAGGCACTGGCTGAGCTGAGCTAGGTGGACCATGGGCAGTGGAGTGGCCACTGCCTGGGTCTTGAGGATGGGGGTACTCAGTGACAGGTCACTCCCATTCTTCTGCCCTGTCAGCCACTCTGTCTTGACCCATACTTGAAGGGTAATCATGTGCCCATAGGAGCTGCAAGTCTGAGAACTTGGTCCTGGCACTCCAGGCCTGCCCAGATCTGGCTGTTCTTCCAGCCCCAGTATGATGAGCTCCCTTTGCCCCTGCCTGACTGGTCCCCTCATCTTTCTGACAACTATGTGCCTTCACTTGTGCAGTTTTCTCACCTAGGCTACCTTCCTCTGTCAGCTAGTGGCTATTACTTGGACAGACAGCTGTGCTGAAGTGCCCCATGCTTGAATCCATCTTTTCCTCTGTTGCCCAGGGCTGATGTTACACCACCTCCACCACCCCCGACCGCAGGTCATCACACTGTCAGTACTTACCTCTCATTAGTTACTGCTTCTTTCCTCCCCTACCTTCCACACCACCTTGCAGAGTGTAGTTCCTGCTCCCCAATCTGGTCCAGGAAGCCTTCCCCTGTCGTCTCTTGCCCCCAGACAGGTCACCAGGCCCTAGACACCACCTCTCCCAGTACTGGCCAATCTCTGACTCTATGGCATGAGCCCCTTCTATCCAGCCAAGCATTATGGGTGCTGCACATTATGGGTGCCGGCTCAAGAGACACATCCTCTCCAGGGTTCAGCCTTGAGCGTGGGCTTGTTAGCACAGGTTCTTGCTGGAGGGAATCGCTTGGGGATGGGACAAGTGGGAAGTGGGGTGCAGGATGGAGTGAGTACCCTCTTTTATGGGACACTTGTGCACAGTCACAGCACCATCTGCTTCCACCTGTGTGGCTTCACTTAATCTTCAAGGCAGCTCTGCAGGCTGGACAGTACTGTCACCGGTTTGTGAATGAGGAGGCTGAGCCCCATATAGGAGCAGAGAGCAGCCCCAGGTCACACACAGCTGGAGCCAGGACTGAAAACCAGGCCTTTCTGCCTGCCTCTCAGCATCCCCCACTGCCACAGGTGGTGGTGCCACAGGCAAGGCACCTCACCAGCAGCTGCATCCTTGTGGCTCCCTTTCGGTTGCCTTCAGACTGCCAGCCTCCTCTCGAGATGGACCCTGACCTCTGACTCTTCACCTCTCTCACTCCTTACAGCACAGTCAGAGGCCACTGGAGGCATCAGCCCCACCTTGTGGCACCACCAACATCCAGGGGTCTCCCTAGTTGGGGCTGGCCATGGCCTTGCCTGCATAGCTCAGCACCCAGTTTGGACATGTGGCCATCTACAAGTGGCATGCCTCCCTCCACACAAATGTGAGCATGTGCGCACACTGCCTGGCCCAACCTTCACACTCATGGGCACAGTGCACCATGTAATTTCCCATGGACTGTCACCCACATCAGTCACAGCAGCTCTCAGCTCTGGGTGCTGCCCATCCACTCTCTGATCTCCACTCACAGAGACCAGGCTGTTCACATCTTACAGGCAGGAGATCCAAGGCCAGAGAGATGCTGGGATGCATCCCAGGCACATGGGGACTGTGTAAGGGAGCTGGAGCAGTTTAACCCCATCACCTACCTCCCAGCCAAGGGCTCCTTCCACCAGAACACACTGCCTGCTGACTCAGAATGCACCATTAGGATGTGTGTACACAATGCCCATGTTTCTCCTTCTAAATGTGTGCCTGTGTCTCTGCATTTGTGAAGATGTTCCTCACACACCATCTGGGACTAGTAACATGCGTATACACAGAAGGAGAGTGAATCCCTTGTTCATCTGGCCTCCCACGGCCCTGTGTGGTTTCTCTCGGTGCTGTTGTTGTTTCCCTCCCTGCACTGATTGTGTCTTGAGAACAGGACACCCTATTACCCATCATAGGTCCACATACACTCAGTACATGTTTGGATGCTCTTAGAACCTGGGTACCTGGACCCCTACTAAAGCAATAAGAATTCAAAGGATCAAAGAGAAATTCCCCCAAATCCCTACCATATCATATCCACACCATACTCTGAGTACCCAGACCCTAGAAAATCTCTGCCCTTGTGGTCTAGTGTGTTTCTACTAGAAAACATGAGACCTTATTCCAGGATTTGTCCATGTAAGAGTAGGCCACATAACAGGAGTATTCACCCCTAGGTGAAAGGGTGGCCAAAGGATCCATTTGTGGATCAGGGAGAATTGGTGAAGATATGGGCTGGACAGAACTTGGTGATGTGACTGGATTATCTACAAACATCTATGAGTGGTGGGATAGAGGCAGGAAGAGAAGGGAGGTGGACTGCTGGTAGTGTGCCTCCATTTGTCCTCTTGTCCCAGTCTCTACAAATGTTACAGGTGGGCTGTTTGTACAAATGAATAACTGAGTAGAGGGTTCAGTGACCAAGCATCAGTAAACACACATACACACATTTACACACATAAACACATATATTCTTTTCTATTCTCTTGGGAAAGAGTATGACCTTTTTAAAAGTTGGAAATATTTAAACTCTGTATTCATGCTTGTACATCATCATTCTACCATTTGTGAGATCTGAACTTGTTCTCATGGCTACCCTGTATTCTTTCATCTCTTCTCTTTCTCCCCTCCTCTCCTCAACTGTACCCCCACTTTACAGTATGCTTATGCCCTAGCAAACTTCATTCAGTCCCAGGGCATCAGCTCCCTGAAAGTGTGGACCAGCCACATGAAGAGAACTATCCAGACAGCTGAGGCCCTCGGTGTCCCCTATGAGCAGTGGAAGGCCCTGAACGAGATTGATGCGGTGAGATGTAGGGGAATGGATTTCCTGGTGGATGGCGGGACTTGACTCTGGGCTTATACCCTTGGGTTGCCTCTGTTTTGGCCTCTATGGTAACCTAATTAATTCAACAAACAATTTTTAACAACCAGCCATGTGCCAGACACCATTCTGTATGCTAAGGATCCAGTGAAGGCTAGAACAGAACAGACAAGTTTCCTTTCCTCATGGAGCCCAAAGGCAGACAGTAAATAAGACACTGCATCTCATGTGACAAAGGATTGTGAGAGGGGAAGTACAAGGGACTGTGGAAGCTCAGAAGGTGAGGGTGCTCCTGATAAGACTTGGTGATTGGAGGTTTACAAGGAAAGCTTCCTACATGAAGCTAGAGGTGAGAAAAGAAACAGGCAAAATGGGCTGGAGAGGATAAATTTAATTTCAGTGGCAAGGAACAGCTCATGTGAAGGCCAAGAGGTGATAAGAGAACACGGTATGTACAAAGAACTGAGGATAGAATAGTAGAGAGGTTGGGGCTATGATTCTAAGGTCTGGAAATAAGGGAGAAAAGGTTAGAAAGGAAGGCAGCTTATATGGCTTTATATCATGTTGAGGGATTTGGATGCTACCCTATAAAAGGGGAGCCATTGATATGGTCTAAGTCAAGGAGGAGTGGCTTGAACATGATTCACATTTTTTCAAATAAAAAGACCACTCTGGCCACGTGTGGAGACTCGATAGGAAGAAGGCCAGAATGAGCATGTAGACCAGTATGGAGATGGCTGCATTAGTCCAGGCAAGAGGCAAGGGTGGCATTGGAGATGGAAGGAAGAATAAAAACTTAGGAAATATGTCATCTGACCCTCATGACATGGCAATCTCTCTTCAGGTTTTCTCATGAGCTCTTTGAAAAGGCATTGTTTCCTCTCCATTGTCTCACCTGCACTATATATATGTTCACATCAGGTAGCAGTGCACAGGTTATGATTGTTAGATTTCAGAGTAAAAGCTTCAACACAGGCGTGGATAACTTGAATGTAGGTAGGTTAACTTGCTTCTCTACTAAATATACCTGTACAAATACAGACAAGTATGTGTGTATACATACATACATACACACATATGTACCTAACTCTACATGCACAGTGATACACATACATAGAAAAGGTATGTACAGCATTGTTCTAGATATCACATGTATTTGCTATAAAATGCATGCAAGAAAATATGTAAGTGCTTCATCATAAGAGTACAGTTATGCTTTGTTTCTAGCACATACATGATGTAAACATTTAATGGAAACCTACTTTGTTTCACCACTGGGGTGGTACTGGAGATGGAGATTGGTTCCTGTCTTCACTGAGTTTTCAGGCTAAACAGGGAAGACAGATAAATAAACAAAGGAGTACACAACAGTATGTGTAATACAGGCTCTGACATGCTGCTATAGGTGCACTAATGTCAGGGCAGGGCATCTGGCTCAACCAGTATCTGCCTGGAGGAAATGATGCCAGTGTTAACTTGGAGGGTTAATATTGAGCCAGGTAGAGGAGATCAGGAATGGCATGCCAAGCACAGAGAACAGCTTAAGCAAAGAGGGTATTGTGTGTATGTAGAACTGCTAAAGTTGGAGTAGTGGAGAGTAAGAGGGAGGAAAAAGGAATAGGTTTGAGAGAATTTTAGGAGGTAGAGTATCAGTAATCCATTATGAGGGGGTGGGTCAGGAAGAGGCAAGAATTTGGAATGATGCCTAGGTTTCTGGTTTGTTTTCCATGATCAGTAATATATTAATAATTAGTTCCATTGATTGAGTCTTTAAAATGTGCTTTGTACATCCTGTACTAGTCTCTTTTGCACATACTACCTCTAATATTCAAAACATTTTTGTGGGATAATGTAATTCTCCTCATTTTGCAGCTAAGGAAAGTAAAATTCAGAGAAATTAGGTAATTTTCCTTAAGTCAATAGGGAATCAGTGACTATTTCCACAGGCAACAGGTTGCCAGAATGCTTCAGAATAAAGTTGAAGCCAATCTAGAAGGACCTTGGGTATTCCATAAGGCACACTTCCTCTCATGGGCACTGTTAGTTGGAGAAGTTTGACAATGCAAAGTTGTTTGTGGGCTAGGGCAGAGGTGAGTCTCACCCCTAAGGGAAACCTGGTAGATTGCTCAAAAGACAACAGCCACAGCCTTCTGCTTTCCCTATAGGAAGGTCTAATCCTTGGAATCCACACAACCAGAAGGAAAACATAAACCCAACATCACTTTCCTACTCCAGCAGCAGCCACATCACTTCTGGAGACTTCTCAGTGGACTCAGAGCTCTTATATGCTCCTGAGGAACAATCTCTGGCTCCCAATTTCTTCTTTGGGTGAGGAGAGTGTATCTCCCCTAGGCCCACTCTGAAATTGTTAGGGATTTACTAATCTTTGCCTCCTGAGATTTCCATAGATAGCTGTTTCTTTATCTGCCAGAGGTTCTAGGGCAGAGGTAGGGGCAGGAAGGATGAGAAATGCTATAAAATGGAAGAACCTGCTGTGGATGCACAAACTTGCATACACAGTCATACACACACCCCATGTATGCTTACAGTCACAGACATGCACTTCACAGACACATGGACCCACTAGTCAGACACAAGCCCTCTCTTAGACATATCTACCAATAACACCTACACCATATGCATGCACACATACACACTTACAGACACACCCAGAGATACATATAGACACACTCACAATCACCACAGACACACATGCTACCTTTGCATATTTCTACATCACATGAACACAGAGGCATACCATAGACACATACACAGTACAGACACACAGCCTCAAGCATATTACCACAAATTCACACAGACATCAGACATAGGCACACATATATTCACACATATACACTAGAAATATAATCAGGGACATACAGATTCACAAATACACATGCCACAGATACACTGAGACACACATGGAAAGACATACCATAGAAACAACCATGCAGGCACATTGTCAGATGCTCAGACACCCTGTACACACACATTCACACAAGCACACTACATATAATGAAATAAATACACAAACACAAAGCATAGATCCCTCAACATACCACAGGTACACACCATAAAAATGCTGCATCCACACATGCAAAGTCACACATCCTTAAGCTCAACTATTGATACAAACCCATACATATATGTACAATGTGCACCTACAAACATACTAGGACAATCATATGACATATCACAGAGATCTACCATATACTCATCCTGAACACACCTATACACCTGCACTCACTCTCACATCTGCACAGCCACACACTTTGTGCACACACACACTCACCAGTCACAAACCCAGAGCTGTGTTCACAGAAACCTAGATGCTACTGTTCAACAATCATTTGGCCTCAAAACTATGCTAAAGACTGTGTGGATTTCACCTTGTAAATATTTTTGTCCCCAAATAACTTTCCTCAGGGTGTGTGTGAGGAGATGACCTACGAAGAAATTCAGGAACATTACCCTGAAGAATTTGCACTAAGGGACCAAGATAAATATCGCTACCGCTATCCCAAGGGAGAGGTAAGGTTTGAAGGATGGGCTGATTCATAGAACTCCTCCCCAATGTCTCCATTCTAGTGGTTAGGTTCCATAGTTTCCTAGATTGCTTTAGAAACAAGGTAAAGTGTACTTTTCAGCAACTTCCATCTCACAAGGCACATGATTATCTGGCCCTTGGATGTCTCAGATTCTTGCCTATAGGCAAGAGATTCCTCTGTTTTAAAAGCTACATATTTGCCTGCTTATTTCCTCTCTGCTTTTAGGAGGACTCACTTTATCGTAGACTTTGTCTCTAGTATCCTTTCACTAAAGGCACTTGAAATAGTTCAACATACTCTAATTTCCTGACATTTTATTGTCAAGTTGTATAAAGCTCCAGGCTTTCTGGGCAGTGGGTTAGAATCCATATGGGCAATGGCTAAAATTTTAACCTACTTCTTTGCTACTACATGAACCAGAACTAGTGGTTCCCCATCCCCATTTGAGGTAAATCCTCATTGCTTTCTACCCAACCTCCATTTAGACAGTTCTACATTTTAGATTATTTATTAGTCATATTCCATTTCTGATACAAATTCCTGGGAACACTTATCAGAAAAGGTGGACATCAGAGAAGATAAAACAATTGATATCCAGTGTGAAAGCATTTTCACATTTTTATCTTCATCCTCAGAAATGACATTATAGCCCTGGCTGGTGTGGTTCGGTGGATTGAGTACTGGACTGCGAACTGAAATGTTGCTGGTTTGATTCCCAGTCAGGGCACATGCTTGGGTTGGGAGCCAGATCCCCAGTAGGGGGCACACAGGAGGCAACCACACATAGATGTTCCTCTCCCTTTCTCCTTCCCTTCCCCTCTCTCTAAAAATAAATAAAAATAAAATATTTTTTAAAAAAGGTCTTGGTGGAGGCTCAGTCCTAGATGATATTTTGGGTATAAAATTCTAGTTTGATGGTTGTTTTCTCTCAGTACTTTGAAGATATTATCTTCACTGTCTTCTAACTTCTAATGTCTCTTATCAGTCTAATTGATGTTTCTTTTCTCTTGGCTGTTTTTAGGGTCTTTATTATCTTTATTGCTTTTAAGTTGTTGTCTGATATGTCTAATTATTCATTTATTTTCATTTATCTTGCTTGGCTTGGACTCCTGAATCTGAGTATTGGGGTTCTTCATCAGTTCTAGAAAAACTCTTAGACATTATATCTTTAACTATTCTTCTCTCACATGCTCTGTATTATCTCCTTCTGGAAATACAAAAGATGTGTGTTAGTCCTGTCTCTATTAAGGTCTACTTTTTTTCTTATTCTTGACCTCTTTGCTGTAACTGAAATAACTTCTTTATCTGTCTTCCAAATTCCTATTTCTTAATTTGTATCTAAAGTTCTGTTTACTCCATCCATTTTTTCAATTTTTATGGATTTTTTGTTTCTACAATTCTATTTAGTTTTGTTTCAAATCTACATCATTTATTTGGTAGCAGCTCATTTCTTCCTAACATTTTTTTTACTCCCTCTTTTATTTCTTTAAAAATTTTAAGCATGTTTGTTTTATATTTTGCATTATTTATCTTAAGTTTTTAAGGTTCCCTTCTTGTTTTTTTCTGCTTATTTTCAGTCAGAATAGTTTATTTTCCTTGCATACTATGTGATCTTCAGTTTGATAAAAATTTAACTGTGGGAATCCCATGCAATCTGAGTTGAGAGAGTCCAGAGAAAATTTCTGTTTGCTTTTTCCAAACACTCCTGGGTGCTAATAATTGGAAATCACTTCTTATTAAAATCTCAATTTAACATTTTTTAAAACACATGGATAGTGTAATGCTCAACCACAAACCCACTGGAGGGTAGACTTGTGGTTGTACATTCTTATAGGAAGCATTTCCTAACTTTTTGTACTAAGAGTCAAGCAGACACAGATACATGCTCTTATTGTTTCTCTTTGCCTGTATATACTTTTTTTTTCAGTTTATACCTTTATTGAGGATGTAGCCCTTTGAGGTTCTTAGGTTTATTTGAGAATTTCAGTCACAACTCCCTAACTTGTGCATACCTAAGGCTTGTCTCCTGTCTCTAAAAGATTTTAAAAACTCAAGCATCTTGTGTAGCATGATTGATAAGTGCCCCCAGGGTAGTCGTAGCTTCCACATCCACTTATCACTCTTTTCCCCCAAGGTTTTATTCATTTTGGAAGCCTATATTTATTGATTTTATTTTTTATTTCTTATTATATTTTTCCATCACCATTTACTCCCCTTATATCCCCTTCCTCCCACAGTCACTACCCTGTTGTCCATGCCCATGAGTCCTTTTTCCTTTCTGCTCAATCTTTCTACACCCTAATCTCCCCATAGCCGTCATCTGCTATCTATGAGTCTGTCTCTGTTTTGCTTGTTAGTTCAATTTGTTCATTAGATTTCATATATGAGTGAAATGATATGGCATTTGTCTTTCTCTGACTGGCTTATTTCATTTAGCATAATGTTCTCCAGGTCCATCCATACTGTCACAAAGGGTAAAACTTTCTTCTTTTCTACAGCCAAGTAGTATTCCATTGTGTAAATGTCCCATTGTTGTTTTATCCACTCATCTACTGATGGGCACTTTGCCTGCTTCTATATCCTAGTGATTGTAAATAATGCTGCAATGAACATAGGGGAGCTTATGTTCTCTCAAATTAGTGTTTTGGTGGAAATCTATGATATTTCCTTTATTTTCTTGAAAAGTCAGCAATACAGGAATTTATTTTATCTGGCTTTTCTAGGAATTTTTGTAGTGGGAAATTTTGTTATTGTTATTGATACCTAGTTGAATATATTGATTGCCCCTCCCATTCAATAGATGACAAACCAAGACCCTAAGAAGGTAGTGAGTTGCCTAAGGTCATACTGCTGAGTCAACAACTGAACTGGTACCACAACAAGTTTTCCTGATTCCTAGCCTAGAATTCCTCTCCTGTGGGCAAATGTGCCTCATGTCCCTTTCTTACTCAAGTATTTTTCTTATTTTCAGTCCTATGAGGATCTGGTTCAGCGTCTGGAGCCAGTTATAATGGAGCTAGAACGGCAGGAAAATGTCCTGGTGATCTGTCACCAAGCTGTCATGCGGTGCCTCCTAGCCTATTTCCTGGATAAGAGCTCAGGTACCACTGTTCTCTCTGTTCCTAGCATGGGGGGTTGGGTGTGATTTGAGACCCTGACACTAGCAAGTGATGGTTTATATCTTAGTAGTTAAGAACACAGGAACAGGAACACTAGGACAAAGATGCTTGAGCTCAAGTTCTTGGTCTATCACATACTAGCTTTGGCAAATTACTTTAATCTCTGACCTCAGTTTCCTCATCTGTAAAATGAGGAGAATAATGATGAAGTTTAAATAAATCAACATTTGTAAACAGCTTAGAACAGTTCATGACACAAAGCACAAGCTACATAAGTGTTATCTGCTATTATTAGTATTATTACCAATCTGAGCTAATGTCTTCCAAGCCGGCCTTTACAGTCTGCCTCAATCTGGAAAAGCTGAGCCAGTATTTTTCTGAAGCATGCTGTCATCAGGTGGTAATGGACCTTTTATGGCCTCATGATTCTGATTATAGGTTTCTATATTTTGCTGTAGAGGTGATTTCAAGATAGTGTTTTCATTTTTTAAAATTTAAATGATTATTTCTTTTCTAAAAAATGTGTAAACATTATAATTTGCAGAGTATTTATGCACTGACTACATATACTGAATCACAAACTAGGGCAGGTGGCCTGATAAGGGACTGTTGTGCCACCCCCAGGTGTGAGATTACACTTGTGATGTGAATGTTGCAGTATTAGCATCTCCAGGACACTGTGAGGGTGTGTGAGGACAGAGAAAAGCCATATCTGAAGTGTGCAATGTTTGAGGATTTGCATCATTTATATATAGTTAGTTTCAAAATCAAGGACACTTGTAATATGGAGTCATCCAGAATTGGAACCCAAGGAACTTGAGAACTTGACATTGGACAAATCATTTCCTCTAACAGGTCCATAATCTCCTCACTGGAAAAAAGTGATGGGGGCTGGGGTAGGAGTCCTTGTGTTACCAGATTTCTGATATTGTCCACATATCTACTGCTTGATGTTCTCTTTGAGACTGAGGTGAATGCTGTAACCCAACTGTGCAGATGAGGAAAGGGAGGCTCTGAGAGGTGAAGTGCCTGACCCTACCTAGGTCATGGGCCTCAGAAGAGCTGGCAGGGACATCAATCCCAGATAAATTTCAGATGTGTTCCCCACCCCAGACATGCATGGAATGTGTCAGCAGCAGGCGCATGTCCTGATTGTACACTACTTTACCCACCTCCTACCTGCTTTCATGTGTGGGCCACACCAGCTGCTCACAGCTGCCCTGGGAGCTGAGCCAGGCAGGCTGAGCTCATGCTCCTACCCTCATTACCCAGGTGAGGAAACTGAGGCCCAGAGACATGATGTGACTAAGAATGCTGGCCCACCGGACCGCAGACCTAGGGCCCCCTCAGAGTAGCCTAGTCCAATCCCATGCTGTGAGAAGTGGGACCTCTAAGGGCCAGAGAGAGAAAAGGCAGGGCCAGGCCACTTGTGGGGGTGGTGGCAGAGCAGAGTCAGAGACCTCAGGCAAGTGAGTTCCCTACTGTGAGTCTGTTGCGTCCTGTGTGCCACAAGGGACAGTAACTCCTGCAGAGTATTGAGTATTGGCTAGGAGGGAAGGAGACAGTGCACCAAAGTGTGGGGCACAGGGCCTGATGGTGATGGTGACAAATATGAGGAGGCAGAGCAGGATAGATGCCCAGGAAAGTGCCAAAACGGATGTCTCAGGGGGCTGGGAGGGCATTGGCAGGGCCCTAACCTGGGTAGGAGGAACCTCAGGGCTGGGAAGCCCTGAACCGTGGGGGTCTGCCTCACTGAAGGGAGATGGGGAGTGGTATGGGCAGTTTGGGAGGGTGGGCAGGTGGGTGTCATGAGAGAGTGTTGAGAGGTGGGGGCGTCACCCCCAAGACACCGTGAGCCCCTCGGGGCAGCGGCGGCAGACTGCAGTGGGTGGAGCACATATCTGAACTCAGAGGGTTCTGGGTGCCAGGCCCAGTGCTGCCTCTTCCTGGCTGTGTGCCTCAAGGCGAGTGTCTTGACTCTCGGAGCCTCACTTTCCTCATCCGTGGAATGGGCCTGATCATCCCCTCCCCGCAGCGATGTCCGGTAACAACATGTAGGCCCGTGGAAGAAATGGCAAGGGAATAGTCACAAAACTGTTTGCATAATAGTCAATAACTGGAAACAAGTGAATTGAGAAATGCTGGTGGGTCAACAAGAGCGAGAGGAGTGAGAGGGCACAGGCCCGGGTGGGGGAAAACGCTGTGGAGCTGCCCGGGTACCCGCACACCTCCTCCGAGGGCCTGGTGCACAGTGGGTTCTCAGGGAACGCTCGGGGAGAGGCGATGTGGGCCTCTGTGGCCAGGGAGCCTGTGGAAGGCCTGGGGCTGGTGCAGGGCTGGCTGGAGGTGGGAGGCCTGCCTTGTTGTCCAGGTTGTCCTGTGGGTGAGGAGGTGGGCCACCTCCAAGGTGACCAGCCTGATCGTCCTGGGGGGCCCACAGTCTGGCTGCATTCCCCAGGGCCCTCTGGCCTCCTCCCTGCTCTCTTCCTCCCTGACCACCCTGCAGGGTGCAGGGCAGTGGGCCCCTGGGGGGCCTGACCATCGGGAAGGAGTGTGGACAAGGGAGAATGCTGAAAACCTGCAAGCCTGGGGACTTGGTGACCTCCCCAGTACTCTATCCCTGATGGTCATGTTCTCCTTTCCAGATGAGCTGCCATATCTCAAGTGCCCTCTGCACACAGTACTCAAACTCACACCTGTGGCTTATGGTAAGAGCCTCCACCTTCATCTTGGGAAAGGCACTTACAGGCCATAAGTATGCCTCCAGTACATAGCATATCCTCAGTAGAGTCGTGGTGGAGACTTCTTGGGTGGGTAGTTGGCTGCTAGTGGAGGTAGGACTGTTGGTGGCAAGATGAGCATGAGGAAAAGCTGGGATGGCCTCTAGCCCCAACTTCCTCTGTCTTTACAAGAGCACTGAGCATAGAGCACCAAGCTGTAGCTGGGGCAGGGTATCCCTGAATGAGACCAAAGGAACAAGTGTATGTTGGGGCCAGATTTAATATTGGGCTCAAAGACTAGCCTGGGCACTTTAGACTCTCTCTTGCGGCATTAGTTAGCTGTGAATTGTTCATGGGCAGGGAAGGGACACTCTCAAATCTCTTCTGGACAGTGTACAGGGCAGCTGGTGTACTGAAGCCCAGAGTAGAGTTCAATTCAGAGATGGAGTTATACAGAGGGGGTTTCCACAGGCATTGGGACTCTTCTGCCCCAGGCCCCAGGCCCCAATGATACCACCTTCCTCTTTCTTCAGGCTCCCCAAAACTCCCTTGTGACATTCCATACCTTGGATGTTACCATGACCATTGTCCTCTAAATAAACTTTACCTGGGACTGATAGTCCCAAGGCAGTGGCCCCAGGACTCTTCCACCACATCACCACCTGACTCACCTTGGAGGACCCGCAGAGCTCCATTATTATATACATTAGATTGTTATCTCACAAACCACAGGAGTTGAGGGAAGCCCCAGAGATGATCTCTTTCTATCTTCCCACTGACAGTTGAGCAATGGAGGCTTGGAGAACACTGAGACTATTAGGGGAAGAGCTGGGAGGACGTTCCATTGGCTGCCTCTTAGGCCTGGTGTTGTCCCCACACATCAAAGAGCTGGTCCAAATTCCCCTCCCCACAGGGAAGTCACAACCGCACACAGTGTGGAGCTGAGGGTGTGGGTGGTGATGGAGGTGGTAAGGGATGACACCTCAGGGAAGACCTGTGCTTTCCTTGGGGGTTCATGGATGCATGGGTTGTTCTTTTTGAGGCTGCAAAGTGGAGTCCATCTACCTGAATGTGGAGGCCGTAAACACACACCGGGAGAAGCCTGAGGTAAGCGAGGGACTCTGTGGCCTAAGTGGACACATTGCAAAAGCACTTTCCTGCACTGAAAGGCCACCCCAGTCCCACAGACATTGGGTGTTTTGCACCATCAAGTAGACAGCCAGCACCCAGAAATGCTGGAATCACAGCCCAGACTTGGAGGCTGTAGATGGAGATGCAGGGGTAGAGCAGCCCCTACCAAAAGGCCCCAGGCTGAGATTCCCGGAGGCTTGCCTGGGAAAAAGGTCAGGATCCAGGCTCAGCTGGAAGAGTGTGGTAGTGAGGACAGCAGAACAGGGACGAATTGGGGCTCCACACTTCTGTCTCCTTCCTATTAATGTTGGGCTTTCTCCTCTCAGAATGTGGACATCACCCGAGAACCTGAGGAAGCCCTGGACACCGTCCCTGCCCACTACTGAGTCCTTCCCAGGAATCCAAACTACCTCTTTCCTGTCTTACACCTTTAGAAGCTTCTATCCTTATTCTTCTACACTGAGAAGACTTTGGATCTGGCCTCACTGAGAGAGTTCTGCTCTCAGTGAAGATGCTCTCAGCAGTTCTAGAACAGGTCTTGATTTCTAGGTACGACCAAGGAGCTGTCTACCTCTGGATGAAACTTTTTTCTTAATTTGTATTCTCTGATCAATGAAAACTTCTCTTGCTGCCTTTTAGAGGGGAGAGATGGCCATTGTGAGGCTTCTATCACAGGGTCTTCTTAAGATCCTGACCCTGTGAAGTGGCTCTGGTACTGTAGAGATATGGAATGGGAGAGAGCTTCCTGGAAGAAAGAGTTCTGGGGTAGCATCTCCAAAATTGAGGTGGGAGATAGATCTCTGTAACTGCTTGTTGGCCTTGTTCTTTAGTGGGCAGTATAGCTGGGGGCATGACACCATCATCCTTATACTCAGAGAAGCTATGCGTGGACCACTGTACTCCTTTCTTCTCCAATTCTTGCTGCCATTCTGAGTGTTATCACTGTCCATATAAATAATCCAAACAATACCCTGGTCTCCCAGCCCTCCTCAATTCCACTGATCACCCATTACATGGACATTGGCATCATGTAGACTTCTCCCTAGTCTGACTTCTTAAATATAAGCATACCACTGTCTGACCACTGACCCCTAGTCTTTACAACTTTCTGTGTCATCCACAGGATCCCTAGCAGCATGCCTCCTACACAGTAGGCATGCACATAGTATTTCTGGGCAGGTACCAGCAACCCAATGCTGAAAAAAAACATTCATTCACTCACTGTGTTTATTCCTTTGCCCTTCCATCACAACCACCAGGAACCCAAACCTTGTATAACCCACATTGCTTTTTTGGTTGCTGATCACTGCTTGAAGAAAATCTTCACTGAGCTGCTTCCACAGCCACCATTAAATGCTGTTCAAAGTCAGGATCTTTGGCTTTGAAAATCCACCCTCTATTTTCTGGCACTCTATTGCATCCCACCTTCTCAGGGATGCACTACTTCAGTCAATTCCTGAGTATTCCTTTTCTATCTACTGTCCTTCTCTATTGGCTTTTGCCCCCATGGTCTATGAAACATGGTAGGGTCTCTTTCCTATCCCAATAAAACCCTCCCTTGTTTCTATGTCCACTTCTCATGACCACCCTCTTCCTCCCTCCATTCTTATACAAACATCTCAAAATGAATCTATACTTACTATCCAGAACCTTCTCCCTCAGCATTCTGTTCCAGGCCTTCCACCTCCACTTTGTTCAGGCTATTATCCCCTTCCTGCCATGCTTTTCCTAGGTCTCTATCCCACTGAAGTCATACTTGCCTTTTAGCCTAACCTAGCCTTTTAGCCCACCTTCTCTCAAGAGCTATGCTGATCTTTAGCTCTTCTGTGAGCCCATAATATTACTCACAACAACCTAAGAACAATTTAAAAAAACAACTCCAAGTCATTTTGCAAATTTAATGTAACTCTGATACCAAATATGACAGCACACAAAAAGCAAACAATAAAGCAAGATTGGCAACCCAATTTTTTTTATAGCATGCCAACTTCAGCTGATCAGTAGTATTTGCTTAGACTGCTGGGTGAACAAAGATTTCAAGGATGTACCTTGGCTCCACGAGAAGGAAGGACTGCCGCAACTCATTAATGGTATCTGTAAACATGGGAAATAAACCTGAAAACAAAACACCAAAAAGGAGCATATTTTAATACCAAATATACTGTTTTCTCATACTTCTTTATTGTCCTCATCTCCCCACCTTGCCCTCCCACCTTGGAAATTCTTATAACATCTCCCAGCACTTATATTAATACCCATGGGCCTTAGCTGTAGAAATGCTGTAATTACCTGAAACCTCTCTAGCCATAGAAGAAACTACAGGCACCAAGGCTGATGACTCCAACACCAAAGGCAGCACCGTTGCTCAGTCCACCGCTGAAACCAGCACCGCTGTTCAGTGCACCACTGAAGCCAACGATAGAACTGGGTCCACCGTTGAAGCCAATGCTGGTGCTGAGTTTGCCAGCAAAGCCAATGCTGGTGTTGGAACCACTGCCAAAGCCAATGACAGTACTCAGTCCTCCATTAAAGCTGGTATTAGGCCCACCACCATAGCCATCACTGATGTTGAGGCTACCACTAAAGCCAGCCCTGGTGCCAAATGTGCTGCTAGAACCAGCATTGGTGCCCAATCCACCACCAAAACCATTGCTGGAGATCAGTCCACTACTAAAGCCAGCACTGGTGCTCAGTCCACCACTGAAACCAGCAGAGGTGCTTAGTTGACCACCAAAGCTAGTGCTGGTGCTCAGTCCACCACCAAATCCAGTGTCAGTACTTAAACAATTGCCAAAGTTAAGACCCACACTGGTGCTAAGTTCCTTAACAAAACTAACACTGGTAGCTCCACTAAAGCAGGTGCTGATGCCAGGAGGGCCACCAAAACATAGATTGGTGTTAGACACATTGCCAAAGCAGAGGCTGGTGCTGGAACCTCCACCAAAGCCAATGCTGGTGCTAAAAGCAAAGTCAGTAGTGGAGCTAAGTGGTCCACTGAGGTCAGCACTAGTGCTGACCATACCGCCAAAGCCAGAGTTGGTCGTGGGTGCACCACTGAAGCTGTTGCTAGTGCTGATAGCACTGCTGAAACCAGCACTGGTGTTGAGTGCATCACCAAAGTCAACATGGGTGCTGATTGCACCACCAAAGCTGCCACAAGTACTGGGAGAGCCACTGAAGCAGATGCTGGTGCTTAGTGTACCACCAAAGTCAGCAACAGTGCTGGAAGAGCCATTGAAGGAGACACTGGTGCTGAGCATGCTATCAAAACCAGTGCTGGTACTAGGAGAACCACCAAAGCAGACACCAGCAGTGAACGTGCCACCAAAGCTGGCACCAGAGCTAGGAGGGCCACCAAAACAGACACTGGTACTGAGTGTGCCACCAAAGCCAGTGCTGGTACTAAGTGCACCACTAAAGACTACACTGATGCTGGGTGCACTGCCAAAGCTGGCACTGGTAATGAGCGCACCACTGAAGCTAGCAGTGGGGATGAGTATGCCTCCAAACCCAGAGCTGACTCCACCACTGAAACTGGTAGTGGTACAAGGTATGCCACCAAAGCTAACACTGGCTCTACCACTGAAATTGGAGCAGGTGGTGGATGTGCCACCAAAACTAATGCCAGTTCCATCACCAAAGCCACCATTGGGACTGGGTGTACCACATAAGCTAATACTAGCACCATTGTGCAAGCTAGCTCTGGTGTTATCTCCTCTGCTGAAGTCGATGTTGGTGCTGGCATCTGCATTTTCTTGGGCTCTGGCCTCAGCATCATTGCCTAACTCTTCCCTTGTTAGGTAGTTGATATCCATGCCATCCCAATTCCTGGGCCCAGCCACAGCTTCCTCTCCAATTCCCATTTGAGCTCTTGCCTCAGCCCTGCCCTCAGCCTCAGCCACAGCCACAGCTGCAGCCTGGACCTCCATCTCCACTGCCTCCTGGTACTGAGCAGCCCAGTCCTTGGGGCCTTTCTTCTGCATCTGAAATGGGAATGATAATCATTATAAGGAAAATAACATTATAATGATGTAGTAAGTAGCACATACTATGGACTTTGTATAAAACCAATAGCAGTATATTTTAAAATTCTTAGTTTCTGGGGCTCTATTATGATGGATTAGTCTTAAGATCCAATTTCAGCTCTAGTAACTTAGGTGCTGGGTGACCTTGGATAAGTTACTTAACCTCAATGAGCCTGTCTTCATCTGTAATGTGGGAAATGATAACAGAGTACATATATGTTGTGGATTAAATGTTGTGCCCCTAACCCAAATTCATACGTGGAAGCACCACCCCTCAATATGACTGTTTTTAGAGATAGGGCCTTTATAGAGGTGAAGTGAAATAAAGTCATAATGGTGGGACTCTGATCCAATAGGATTAGTATCCCCAAAAGAAGAGGTTCTCTTCCCACCATGTGAGGACATAGCAAGAAGGCATCCATCTGCCAGCCAGACAAGAGGCTTCACCAGAAACTGATACTGCTAGAGCCTGATCTGGGACTTGCAGCCTCCAAGACTATGAACAAATAAATTTCTGTTGTTTAAGCCATCCAGTCTATTGTGTTATAACATTCTGAACATACTAATACAAAATATGAAGAATGAATGAAACAAAGTAAACTTTATGCTGAACAGCAAAATGAATTTCCACATGTTTATATATGAATCACAGGCTGCCCTGTACATGCCCATCCCTGTACACAACTTGCCCTAACAAGGGGTAACCCCTACCCTTAATATACCAAGTCAGGGCAGGTCTCCTATTACCTTGCAGGCAAATTCCAGGATTTTCATCTTGCTAGTCTCATGGTAGAAGCACAAACCCCAGAAGAACTCATATTCAGGTGGGCTGCTGTTGGTGACCCTCTTGTACTCCAGGTACCTTGGAAAGGAAATGAAACTTCCTTCTAAACAAAATCTGTTGTCTAACCACTGGATACCAGTGGCAACCTCCTTCAAACAAATACTAAACTCAGCTCCTGGAGAAAGACTTCCAACACCCTCCTTCTTCAGATTCACTTCCAAACACAGTTCATGGTCTTGGCCTCTAATATGAAGCCATTTCCCATTGGCTATGTGCAAGGTAGTCACTTGTTACTGCAGGGGAGGCATGTATAGGGCATGATGTCACAGGAAAGCCAAAGTATCCTGCCACCTGTGAGGAGTAAACCCAAGTTCCTGTTGGGTGTGTTGTAAACAGAGGAGCCATTCTTCAGGCACCCTGCTCTGAGCACACCCTGAAATAAAGCCCTTGTGTTTGATCTGGCTCAGCACTAGAATGGTCACCCATGTGAATTGTGGACAGGGCTCAGTTTTAGGGCACAGGATGCTGATACTTGTAAAGCTAGTGTAGGAAACAGCTTATCAAGCACTTTTTGAACAATACCAACACACCCAGAACACTTAAGGGACTGATAATGCCCCAAACCACCACTTACTTCTGCTTCACAAACTCGTCTGTGATGAGTTTCCTCACTTCCCCAAAGAGCAAGTGCCTCATCCTGACAATGGGGGAAATAACCCAGGAACAGAGATCAGAACTTCCCAGATGAGGGCAGGGGCATTTCCTAACATGGAAAAGAACTTTCTAGCACGTGTGGCTATCTTAATGAAACCAGAAAAGTAGTAAACACATACATGGTCACTAGAAGCAGGCAGCTGAAGCCAAATGGCTCTTTGTCAGGGATACCCTGAATGTCTATCTTATATTCCATCTTAGAATAGAAAGGGCACATAAAGGAGAGAGGGACCTGGGAGTTCAGGACCATTTCCCCATCCACCCAGCTCAGAGCCATGGGCCCTCTACCCAGTCCAGCACCCCAGCCCGCTCCACCAGACCACCAGGCTGATGCAATCCTGGGACCATCCTCTCTTGCCAAAGGACAACACGGACAGCAAGCGCTGAGAGAGCCCAATCATACCCAGGGCGCAGCCCCAACTTGCGCAGCACCTCCCAGATGACAGCTGCAAGGGGGGGGCAGAGGAGACAGGGACAGGAAGTGAACACGTGAGTTCCAACAGTGGCCACCCATTCAGCTGCATGCCCAGCCACTCACCCTCACTGGACCGATTTCCATTCATGAAGATGATGCTAAGAAGCACCATGAGAAGACCCAGCTTTGGGGAGTCCTTGGTTCTAGGGGAACAATAGGACAAAGAGGTTTATGCCCCCACAGCCATCTGCAAAAAACACACCAGCCAGCCCACTAGGCTAGCCTCTCCCAGGTTCCTCAGGTATAGAAGAGTTCTGCCCAGTCTAGGCTTCAAGCTCTATGTGAACCTGGGCAAGACACTTAGACTCAGTCTCCTCCTCAGCAAAATGGGAAAAATCACATCCCCCCCCCCTCCCCAGGTTGCCAAAGAGGATGGAAGAAATCCTAGCAACCTGGCATGACTCAGGCACTCAGTCAGTATGAGTCCCTTCTTTCTCTCCCAGAACCCTCAGCCATGAGCGAATTCCAGGCACAGCCCATTAGTGATCCTGCCCTTAGAGCATCATGAGCCACCCACACCACAAAGCCCTCCCTTGAGAACCACTCTCCCAAGGCCAGCAGGAAGAGACAAGCAAGGACAGATCTGCTTTCCTGGGAAGCTTCTGGACAGACAACCTGGCAGTAGGAATGCCCCATTCCAGGCTTCTACACCCTTCAGTCAATCATAATCAGGCACCACGTTTGTGTGCAGGGTTCCAACTACATGCAAGAGCTAGAACAGGGGCTTTTCAGGCCCCATCTTTCCTGACTCTCCAAGAGGGTGTGGGGAGAGAAGACAGGGATGGGGGAGTACCAGGAACAAAAGCAGAAGCCTCCCTCCCACCCCAGCCCTTCCCCAGCTTACGTTTCCAGTATGCCTGTGGAAGATTCCTGAATGCTGATGAGAATATACACACTACTCTGCTTATCAATTTCCTTCAGATTGACTTGAAACATCTGCCAAGTAAAAGAATAACCTGAGAGATTACAAAAGTCAGCCTATGCAATGAGCTTCCTGAGCACCCAACAGCTCCCTGAGTATCTAGGGTGGGGTGTGTCTGTGAAATCAGTGAAGTAAATGCACATAAAGTGTTTATCTATGAGGCCAGCACACAGCAAACAGGCAACAAATGTGCTATTATATTCAACACCAACCTTG